TTTGAAATTAATGATGCCGGGAAATGAATTTTAAGTATGAACAAGAGGACCGCGGGGTGGAAAATATACGCCCGTCCAATGTGCATCATTCTAAGAGTGGTTAGCTGACATGCTATAAACAAGAGTCCCAGAGGGCCTGGATCGCTTACCTGCAAATGTTAGCAAAATTGAAGTGAGAATAGCATGATATCACTGGAGGTGTACATGTATTACATGGTTAGTCAGGGGTTATATTTATATGCAATTGGACAAAATCTTGTCATTCCTAAAACAGGAGGCCCATAGGGCCTGTATCACTCACCTGGATATCTAAGCAATCATGGCAAAATATTCTCCAAATGAGATCCAAGGGAATATGCCAGACCCAAATGCCAATTCTTGTAGTATGTCTGTATTAGATTTTTCATGCCCAGCAATTTAATGTATGGTTATGGGGCGGAGATCTCAACTGTTTCCCAGCTGTGACTCAGAAACTATATCCCTAGGGTTGTGGCCAGACCCCAGGATCAATTATAATATCATGACTGCATTCGTCTCTTATTGTCCAGCATCTGTATTTATAGTCTTGGGGTGGGGATCTCAACCGTTTCAAAGTTATGACCAAGGGGTTAAGTCTGCAAGGGTGGGGCAGACCCTGGGGTCAATTCTAATATCATGACTGCATTCGTCTCTTTATGCCCAACAATTGTATATATAGTTTTGGGGAGGGGATCTTAACAATTTCGAAGTTATGACCCAGGGGTTAAGTCTCCAAAGGTGGGGCAGTCTCCAACGCCATCCTGGAAGCATATGTGCATTCATCTCTTTATGCTCAGCAATTGTATATATGCATGGTTATAGGGTGGGGATCTCAACTGTTTCCAAGCTGTGACTAAGAAACAAGGACCCTAGGGGTTTGGTCAGACCCCAGGGTCTATTCTAATACCATGATTACTTTTGTCTCTTTATGCCAAGTATTTGTATATAAAGTTCTGGGGTGGGAATCTCAACCGTTCCAATGTTATGACCCAGGGACTATGTCTCAAAGGGTGGGACCAGACCCTAGGCCATCCTGGAAGCAAATATGCATGCTTCTCTTTACACTCCACAATTGTATATATGGTTATACCGTGGGGATCTCAACCATTTCCAAGTAATAAACTGTTTTAGGCCCCACCCCTTAGCACAGGGGAGTCAGACCCTCCATTTGTACAATTTTGAATCCTCTCCACCTAGGGATGCTTCCAGTCAAATATGGTTGATAACCAGTGCATAGATCTACAGAAGAAGTCGTTTGTAGCAATATAGCCATATTGCTCACTTTTGGCCCCGCCCATCAGCCCCCCGGGGTGTCAGCCCAACCATTTGTACAATATTGAATTTCCACTACCGAGGGATGCTTCCAGTGAAATATGGTTAATATCCATCTCTTAGTTCCAGAAAAGAAGTTGCTTAAATCAATATATCCCAATTGCCCCCTTTTGGCCCCGCCCCTCAGGCCCCTGAGGGACCAAATATGGAACAAATCTTTTCATTCTTTCAGAAGAAGAATGATTTTAAAGAATTTGCTATATTTCCCTTATTGGACCCCACCCCTCAGGCCCCTCAGGGGCCAGACCCCCTGTTTACACAAAATTGAGTCCCTTTTACAGAAGGATGCTTCAGACTAAATATGGAACAAATCTTTTCATTCCTACAGAAGAAGAATGATTTTAAAGAATTTGCTATATTTCCCCTATTGGGCCCCACCCCTCAGGCCCCTCAGGAGCCAGACCCCATGTTTACACAAAATTGAGTCCCTTTTACCTAAGGATGCTTCAGACTAAATATGGAACAAATCCTTTCATTCCTACAGAAGAAGAAGGATTTTAAAGAATTTACTATGTGTTCCCTATTGGGCTCTGCCCCTCAGGCCCCTCGGGGGCCAGACCACGGTTTATACAAAATTGGTTCCACTTCCCCCAAGGATGTTTCAGACCAAATATTGAACAAATCCTTTCATTCCTACAGAAGAAGAATGATTTTAAAGAATTTACTATGTGTTCCCTAGCCCCTCAGGCCCCTCTGGGGCCAGACCCACGGTTTATACAAAATTGGTTCCACTTCCCCCAAGGATGTTTCAGACCAAATATTGAACAAATCCTTTCATTCCTACAGAAGAAGAAGGATTTTGAAGAATTTGCTATGTTTCCCTTATTGGGCCCCGCCCCTCAGGCCCCAGAGGGTCCAAACCCACCATTTATACAAAATTCCCAAAGGAAGAAGAAGGAAATTAAAGCTATTCCTCTATATCCCTTATTGGGCGCCGCCTCTCTGCCCCAGGGGGGCCACACCCACCCTTTATACAAAATTGAGTCCCATTGGCTCAAGGATGCTCCAGATTAAATTAGGATAAAATCCATTAATCCCTACGGTAGAAGAAGGATTTTAAAGGTTTTACCTCTATTTCCCCTATTGGGCCCCGTCCCTCTGCCCCGATGTAGGCCACACCCACCATTTATACAAAATTGAGTCCCCTTGGCCCATGGATGATCCAGACTAAATAAGGATAAAATCCCGTAATCCCTACGGAAGGAAAAGGATTTTGAAGGTTTTACCTCTATTTCCCCTATTCGGCTCCGCCCCTCTGCCCCAAGGGGGACCACACCCACCATTAATACAAAATGTATCCCCCTTGGCCTAAGGATGCTCCAGACCCAATTTAGTCAAAATCTACTTGGTCGTTCAGGACTAGTAGTGTTTTAAAGGAAAAGGTGACAGACGGGTGACAGACGGACGGACGGACGATTGACGACGGACGACGGACGCTGCGGTATGGCATAAATTCATGAATTATTTACTATAATTAGCCTTCGGTTACAAGCTAACCAAGGGGATATGCAATTACAACAGCATATTTTATATAAGTAACTTCTGTTTGTTTATATATTTTTGTTTCATGGTGAGTGTTTTTCTCTGTTATATGTTATACGCATCCAACCAACATTTGTTTGGATCCAGTGCCAATATTGGATCATACTGTCGTTATTACTTATGAGACCTATATACCTACAATACATATAAATATACAGGTATGTCTTATTACCCAATACACAGGTATATCTTCCTTAGGTACAGGTATCATATTACTGAATACATATACATTTTAGACAATACACCCCAGGTTTGTAAATGCTACGGTTTATAAACACAACCTACACTGACCTACTACACCGTCTATTGCTTTATTACCACTGTTTGTCTGTCGGTAACCACGCTCAACAGGGAAGTCATTTAGTCTGCACACCTGCAGGTCTAAACAGGTATATCTACGCATTACCATGGATTTGTGTACACAGAGCAGACATTTTTGTTGATATTACTTACCAGTCAGATTTCAGCCAAACATATGACTTCCAAGGTTTGATCAAAACTTTTACAATGTCAGCAGGAAAGTGACAGATTTATCAACAAAGCTACATGTCATCATGTGATTGTGAATCCCAGGGTTGGATAGCTATTGACAATGCAAGTGAACATAGAGAAGTGTGGAATGGAAAACTTGAATTCATCATCACAGTAACCCTGTGACATCAGTGATCGTGAGGTAGTTATTTCATATTATTTTTCACATGACTATATGGTAAAGTTTTCATTTCTTTACAAAACAAACTCTTATTTGTGAGTGTTTACCGATAACAATATATATTTATACAAGAACAACAAACTTCTTCAAGTTTTCANGAGAAGTGTGGAATGGAAAACTTGAATTCATCATCACAGTAACCCTGTGACATCAGTGATCGTGAGGTAGTTATTTCATATTATTTTTCACATGACTATATGGTAAAGTTTTCATTTCTTTACAAAACAAACTCTTATTTGTGAGTGTTTACCGATAACAATATATATTTATACAAGAACAACAAACTTCTTCAAGTTTTCAACGAATAATTTAGCTTTTTATCAAAATGGCAACCCCTATAAGCCAAATACCAATCCGTATTAAAGGTCAAACGACATGTATTCACCACAAAGGGAGACAGCTAGAATTTTATTGTGAAAAGTGTCAGGAACTGGTTTGTTCAAAATGCCTTTCTTCTATTCACAAAACCCATCCACTTTGTGAGCTAAGTGAAATCACTCCTCAGAAAGAACCAGACATTAAAAACTTTATAGACAGAACAGAAAAAAATGACCTTGTACAAATTGGGAAATATATCACCGCTACTGATACGCTTCTTAAAGACAACACCAGTACTTTTGAGAAGCTGTCACAAAAGTTAAAAATGCAAACAGATAAATTAAAACAAGAGCTGGACATGCTTACAGAACAGACACTCTCTCTTTACCACAAAATGGAAGAGGATAATACCAAGCTGATAAAGAAATACAAACAGGACCTGGAGATGTATGAGAAGCAACTCAAACAAAAAATTCAAGAATGTAAAGCAGCTCTTCAGCGTGGTTCACATTTACAGATTTATGATACATTTTGTGAGATCCAGTCTCCTACACACAGTCTCCCTGTAAAACCTGTCCTGGGTACTGCCAACTTCACTCCGAATGAAAATCCTCAAGATCACTTAAAAAAAGCCTTGGGAAAAGTTACCACGTCAGGTCAAGGTCACACTTTAACTGACCAGGATCGGTCAGTCTCAATATCTGATGATCTAGGACAACCCTCTACACAACAACAACAGTCAGGAGCAAAAGGACAGAAAGCAGTGACAACATACAAACTACTGCCACAGACCAAGGTAGTGGAGGAGTGGGAGTCTCCATGTCACATTAATTGTATATGTCCCACCACTGATGGTCAGGTGTGGACCACGGACTTTGCTACATTAACTCTCCTGGACAGGAAGGGTAAAGTTATACAGACGGTCAAACACAATGGCATGATCAGTGACATTAGTCTGTCACCCACCACACACACACTGTGGGTCTGTGATGATAACAACAACATCATGGAGCTGGTATCAGGACGACTGACACACAGATTCCGTACCAAGGAGGAACCCTTCAGTATATGTGTTAGAGCCAGTAACCATGTCATTGTAGGGATGACCAAATACATCTCAAAATTTACCACAAAAGGTAAAATGGTGTGTACTACTATGGCTAAAGGGACTGGGAAACCATTAGTGTGTACATGTACACCATACAGGATCTCAGAGTGTCCTGTCACTCACAATGTGGCAGTCACTGATTTCAGTCTTGAAAGTGATGGTGGTGATGGAGAGCGACATGTTGTTGTGATGGACACTGATTTCAAGGAGCTGTTTGTA